GAAGGTGTAAATTTGAAAGCTAAATTATCACATAACTGATAATAGCAAGACTTATAGCTGCATAAATAGCGATGTAACTAAAGTGATTTTGAAGAGGCTAGTGAGAAAGAAAAGAAAAATAATGGAAGTTCCAGAAGCAAGTAGGATCCTCATTTTTGGGGGAACTGGATACATAGGAAAATACATGGTGAAGGCAAGCATCAAGCTAGGACACAAAACTCATGTCTACACTCGCCCCATCACTCAACAAACCAGTCCTGCCAAGCTAGACTTGCACAAGGAGTTCGAATCCATGGGTGTTACCATTGTTCAGGTAAACTTCTATTATGCTTCTATGAGTTCGCTCCTGCGCATAGATATACACATATGAAGAACTATTGATGTAAACAGGGAGAATTAGAAGAACTTGAGAAGATGGTAGAAGTACTTGGTCAAGTAGACATTGTGATCTCTGCTCTTGCATATCCTCAGGTTCTTGACCAGCTCAAGATAGTAGATGCCATCAAAGTTGCTGGTAACATAAAGGTAATTAACATAAAATACATCAATTTAATTCTCAATCTCTCATTCCAAACATATAGAGAACGTTCTCATTTTTTTATTAACCAAAATAAAATGCTGAGAGTTTCCATTTTACTTTGCTTGTGTATGTTGTGTTGACATCCAGAGGTTCCTGCCATCAGATTTCGGGGTTGAAGAAGACAGAGTGGCTCCTCTGCCTCCATTTGAAGCTTTCTTGGACAAAAAGAGAAAAATTCGAAGGATTGTGGAAGAGTCTGGGATCCCTTACACCTTTGTATCTGCAAACTGCTTTGGTGCATACTTTGTCAATTACCTGCTTCATCCACACGAAGAGAAAGATGAGATAACTGTCTATGGAACTGGCGAAGCCAAAGGTTTGTTCTTTGTGAATTTCCCATAATGAAAAAACCCTTAAATTTCCGGCATGTAGGGTTAGGATTTGAATTAAACCCTTTAATTCTTCTCTGTAACAGCTGTGTTCAACTATGAAGAAGACGTGGCAATGTACACAATCAAAGTGGCAAACGACCCAAGAACCTGCAATCGGGTCGTAATTTATCGTCCGCCAAGAAACGCCATATCACAGCTTGAATTGATTTCTCTATGGGAAAACAAAACGGGACGGCGTTTCAAGAGGGTTCACTCGTCGGAAGAAGAACTCGTGAAACTTACAGAAAGTAAGCAATTTTTTTTCTGGGTTTGCTTTCTTTCTCGTAATCTTTTTAGGTTTTAGTGAATAGAGATGAAAGTGTGTTGCAGGTTTGCCGACTCCGAAGAACATTCCGCCGGCCATTCTTCACAGTCTGTTCGTAAAGGGGGAGTTGATGAGCTTCGAGATTGAAGACGAAATTGAGGGTTCGAGTCTGTATCCAGACTACAAGTACACCGCCATTGATGAACTTCTTGAGCTTTTCATCGTTGATCCTCCTAAGCCTGCAAGTGCTTCATTTGAGTGAATCAGTTCTGGCTTTTCTGTTTCACCGTCTCCATGATACCGGACTTTTTCGTGGTGGGATATCCATATAATAAAATAAATAAAAACTGAAT